TTTTACTTTGTTTTCCTTTTAAATATGACTGTGGATACTTATTCATTAGACAAACTAAGAAGTACACTTATTCGCTTAGAAGATACCATCATTTTTGGTAAGATTAATGAATAATGTGAATAAATAGGAAGCTTATTGTACTACAGCCCTTATCGAAAGAGCACAATTTGCACTAAATCAATGTGTTTATGAAAGAGGAGCACTTGAATTTAATGGTGCAACAGGAGAAAAGAGCTTCTTGGAATACTTCTTTTGGGAAACAGAGAAAGTTCATGGTAGCTGATAGAAACACCAAAAATCAATATATTATCTAATACATCTTTTTCAACAGCTAAGGTTCGCAGATACACAAGGTAAGTTCCACGCAACTAGGATGTTATACAGAAAGGATATCAACGTTTTGAATGTAGTCCAGATGAATATGCATTCACTTCACCTTTACCTGACCCTATTCTTCCACCACTTCAATATGATGAATTTTTGTATCCAAATGATATTAATGTCAACAATCGAATCATGGACATATATATCAAAGATATCTTGCCGGTTATTTGTAAAAAAGGTGATGATATGAATTATGGTAGCTCAGCAACAAAAGATATTGAAGCATTACAAGCCTTAAGTAAACGTATACATTTTGGTAAGCCACCTTTATTTGTTACTCTCTTTCATTCATTCATTTTTTTTTTTAAGGTAAATTCATTGCAGAGTCCAAGTTTAGATCAAATCCATCCGAATACATTAAACTCGCTCTGGCTGAAGATAGAGAAAAGATTGATAAATTATTAACGAATAAGCAAGTAGAAGCAAAGGTATTGGAGAGATTACACAGAAAGGCTTTGGTCTATGGACAAACACTGGATGAAGAACAAGAAGGAACGAGCAAACATTTGCGTATTCCAGTTGAATTAGTAGTCAATCTCTATAAGCAATGGGTTATTCCACTAACAAAGCAAGTTGAAGTGGACTATTTGATTATCAGAGGAAAGGCTGCTGCTGCTGCCTGTCAAGTGCCAAAATAAACTCAAGTCTTACAAATTTCCTGTTTAGGCATATTCAGGTACGATGGATCGATTCAAGAGAGTATGTAGAAAGATAAAAAGAGAGAGAAATAGAGGGTTTATTGTGTGTATATTATGTGAAAATGTCAGGCAGATGAATAAATTGTTATTTACATGCGTTTTCTTGCTTTACACTGCTTTTTTAGTTTCTTCATCAGTTCTCTTCCTTTCCTTATTTGAAACTCTTCCCCACTATTTAGTAATGCATTGATCAAGCCTTTTGCAATGTTGTCGCTAGAGGGAAGAGAAAGAAGATATGAGCATAAAAAAGTGTCAAGAAACATTAGACACTTACTGTAAATATGTATCTTCTTCTGTCTCTTCTTGTTCTCTTAAATTGACTTTTTCAAATCCAGGAAAGTTAGGTGCGAGGTTAAAGTGACGTAACTCGAAACCACCCAAGAATTGATTGTCTCTTGGGTCCCTGAATGCTAGTGTACCGTATGCATCAGCGTTTTGTTCGTATGAGCTAAAATCATCATCTTCGTCTTCATCAGGTAAATCAGGCCCTAACAGATCACTAAGATAGTTTGCATATCGAGGTTCACCAGTCACTGTCAACTCTTCATCGTCGCTATTATTATCGTCATAGTCTTCCACAATAGCATCATCTTCATCATCATCCTCAACATCTTCATAGTCTTCATCTTCTTCATCATCGCTATCACTAATAGATGGAAGGTTTACAAATTGAACGCGTGTAGTAGAAGACTTGGCTTGTTCTAATTCATCATCACTATTATCTAATTCTTCTAAAGTAATTCTTTCATCTTCACTGCTATCACTGTACCCATCATTAGGTGAATAGTCTTCATCTTCACTGCTATCTTCAGCACCATCCAGTTCAGTCATTAATCGGAAATGCAAAGGAAGCTGATTTTCTTTATCTTCTTGAATGGATTCTTCGTCTTCACTACTCTCTTCTTCTTCTACAGGCACATAATCCTCATCTTCACTACTTTCGTCTTCATCATCCATGCTCAGTTGTCTACTTGATATAAAATCATCAGGTTGTAATAATTTCATGTATCGATAATAATTTTGATCTTCCATATCTTCATCTGACTCTTCTTGACTTATTTCTACAAGATTACCTATAATCTGTACAGGACTATAATTTATGTTTAATTCCCTTAAGTGACACTTTTTTCTGTTTAAACATACTTTGTGCCAGTTACAATAAAGGTTGCTCCATCTTCAGGCATAAATAAGTGTGTCAATTTTTGTGCTTCCACCTTGAACAAATATGATAAATAATAGCTCTCTTTCTTTTTATTAGTTTCTTACCAAATCTCTTTGTAAAGTACACAGCACATATGTATCTCCTCTGATATTCACTTGAAGACAGGTTTTTCCTCCTTTTGGTTCATCTATTAAAGTAACCTTATTTCTTTTGGTTAATTTTTTTTTTTTTTTTTGTTCCTAGATTTGAATAATAAGCTTACATGGCTCAATTGAATGATTGCATCGTTTGGTAGTGAAAAAGACTCTCCAGGAGCTAAGCGTACACCTTTATATGAATTAAGTTTAGTTACTTTATTGACTTTTGTGAGCTATTTCTTTTTCTCTTTTACCCCAAAAGGAGGTCATTTGAATTATGTTTAAATAAAAAGGAAGAGAGAAAACTTTTTTTTTGACAGTGTTTCTCTACTCCGGTATGAGCCAATAAAAAGAGCCAAAAGCTTTTTTGCCTCTTCGCAACAAGAAGTGATAATATCTCGCAAGCACACGCAATAGAAACATTAATTACATGATTCTATTTTTAATGGAGACGCACATTCTCTACTCACCCCATTCAGCCATGTTCACGATCGAAGAATAATTTACAATCTTGGTTGTGAGAGAGATTCTATGGACATATGAATGCAAAGAATAGTAGTGAAACACTTTTGCGTCTGAAATCTTACGGGCGAGCTTTGGACGCTCCTTTCAAAGTATTGCATATAATATCACTTAGTGTTGGCAAATCTTTGTTTCAATCTTTGATTAAAACTGCTCTGGCTACTACCGAGAAGACGAAATTCTAGCAGACTTTTACTGACCATCGTCTATGCGAAGCTTACAATAGAAACTTCAGAGCTAATCTCAACCATAACGGCTCTTCGTGGCAGAGATTTTAAGCAAATTTACACAGGCTACCTCAATTATCCTTAGAAACACTCTTCTTTGATGCTGAAGACGGTGGCATTAGTGATCTCACAGCAAGGTGTTTTTGGTTCTCTAGGCTGTGTATCTTCCCTTCGGCAAAAACTGTCGACATGGAAAAGACAAATGCATATGTCACATATGCTCTAATCAATACTGTATTTTATTAATTATTGACGTTAATTTTATAAAATATTTTCGTAAAAAGACGACAAAGAAAAATACGTTTGAATAAAACGACATCATGTCAAAAGAGATAGAGAGATAATGAGTATATGTAGAAAAAGAGAGAAGAAGTATGTTAGTATTAGAGTACATATCCTAATATTAGTTGCACTTACCATCAAGGTGCATTCTGGGGAGGGTAGCGATAACTACCCAGGAAAGTTAAAACAAAAAAAAAAGGAACGGAGGACAGAGAGAGCCCAGGACGTCAGAAGAGACTATTGGGGAACGTTCCAGATACACGCCAGAGAGCAGAGAGGGCGGGACAAGCGAGTCAGAGCAAGGACCATGAGGACAGGCTAGTTTTGATTGGTGAATCTTTGAACACTCAGAGGGACATTTGATAACTGCTGTAAAGAAGCAAAAAATAGGAATAATTAAAATGGGTTTTTATATGCTTTTCTTTCAAACAAGTTTCAGGATCGGATACCTAGGACAAAGAAATCATGTCAAATAGAAGCAATCTACATTGTGGCCATTCAAGAATATGCATTGCCAAATATGACTACATGTTCTTCTGATTTCATGAAAAAACTGAATAAAGAATTTAAACTTTTACAAGAAGACTAAAGAGGGCGATTTCTAATATTAGGTTAGTTTCAGCTCCAAGACAGCCCACCTGTTAATATTACTGTCAAATGGAATAGTGAGCCATATTCTTTTTGTATTTGTTATTACTCTGACAACATTACAACGGTTTCAATACGACATCTCAATTTGGAAATACACTATCTCCATGGATGTCAGGGCTGATACTACGAAAATATTCTTGGTAACGGCGAATTTACATTTCATACAACATGAATTTTGTCCTCACCATTGGGTGCACTTATTTTCGATCACAGGCGAATTTACTTTCCGGAAAGAGTGTATATCTTGCTTATTCCGTTTTTATGATGAAAAGTCAGCACCATTTCGTTTCTACGATTACCAAGGCAGACAAAGGTCAAATGCAGAAATGGCCAACATATTGATTAGCGGAGGAAAAAAATACAACAAAACAAAGCAGAATCGAAAGCAGCGCAAAAAGAAAAGAAAGAAGAAGCAAGAAAACAACCAAACGTAATTATGACAATCGTGTTTAATATTTAAAGAGTTACTCCTTTAAATATGTCAACCATCTGGTATTCTACTGGGAAAACAAAGTGGGGACCTTCGGGGCCTCGTCTGTACTTTCGAGTATAGACTAACTTTAACCAATAGTTACCTGGTTGATCCTGCCAGTAGTCATATGCTTGTCTCAAAGATTAAGCCATGCATGTCTAAGTATAAATAACTTTATATTGTGAAACTGCGAATGGCTCATTAAATCAGTTATGATCTACGTGACAAATTCTTTACTACTTGGATAACCGTGGTAATTCTAGAGCTAATACATGCAAAAAAGCCCTGACTCATGAAGGGGTGCACTTATTAGATAAAACCAATGATTCAAAATATTAAGAAATTGAGATAAGTACTCGTTATTGATACTACATAATAAGACCAACAATCTCCTAAAATGCCTCTAATATCCATTCATGGAGCTCATAATCTGCTAGGACCCTATCAGATGAAAAAACTTTTCCTGTGGCCTATAGCTTTGTTAGCGATGAGTCAGAAGCAACATACCAGCGTTTTTTAGAGCAATTGAAAGATGCTATTCAACCCAATACTGATGGTAGTACGCCAGATTTCGTCAATGATAAATGCCGGACTCTAATGAAAAAACTAGATATTGTTCTTCCAGAGTCAGCTAAACTCTTTCGTATATGACATATGATGAACAATATTAGAAACAATTTAATCAGAGACTGGCTTAAAAGTAAAGAAGCCAAAAATAAGTGTATGATACTGATATCGAAGATGGTTCATACCACAGACAAAGACTCCTTCGATAGTTACTTCAAAGAATATCAACAAATTTCTACCGATCCAAAGAACATAACTAATTTTGGAACATTTGATCATTATGAAGAAACAGACGCAGATAAAGACCTGAATTTTTATGAAGGCATTTCAGAGTTAGATGATGATTTACTAATAGCGAAGTATCGAGAAAGCAATTAATTGATCAGGGTCCTCAACTTTTTTTTCTTTGCTGAAGACACAATAGAAGACCTGATCAAGTAATTTGCTGAGAGATTTCTCAAGTCTATGAATGAGTTACTTGATATAAAACGGATCATGACAAAAATATGAATGGGAAACTACATTGTTATATAGACAATACTTCAATCCATAAATCGCAATCAATGATATAAGAAAGATAGAAAGAAAGAGATCACCGTGTGATGTATATTACTCGTTTGAGCTGAATCCTATATATTGAGCGATTCTGGGCAATCGTCAAAAGGAAAGATGAAAAGTCATCGCTTGACAACCAAAGAAAACTTTATCAACCAAAAATAGCTGAAGCATGTAACGATGCACTTGTCAGTAAGCTTTTGGATTTTGTTAACCATTCCAAACGTCAAAATTTTAAATAAATCTTTGTTACGTACGTACACTTACTTTCCATACATTATATCATTTGTACGTTATTGAAAAATGTATATGAAGACATTATTTTTGAATGTCGAAATAAAAAAAAAATCCACATTCATTTTTTTTTAAGTCTTTCTTAACATCAATGATAAATAACACAACAGTCGTCAGGGAGGTATCATAAAATCAATATTTGCTCAAAGTGAAGGTCTAAAGGCATGGCTACAAAAAAAAAGCATGAAAAGAAAATAGTATAAAATAAGAAATATAAATAGTCAATTCGGTGTATAAGATATTAGGAAATGAATCAAATAATCTAGACTAAAGGGACTAAACTAATGTAAACAGAGCTTCAATTAACAATCTTCAAAGCTG